GGATGCAGGGTTTCAATGTGCTACACCCAATGGGATGGGATGCTTTTGGTTTGCCTGCAGAGCAGTACGCAATTGAGGTATGTCTTGCACTTTGTAAATACTTCCAATATCTTTTATTTTCTTGTCATAAAATTCACTTGATGCTTGACAGACAGGAACGCATCCGAAGATCACAACAATCAGAAACATCAACCGGTTCCGCACCCAGGTCTATACAATCAATTTTATGTCACAATAACTGATGTGGTAAAATGTGCTGCAAAGCATTTTATGTGCTATTAATTGCTGAGATTATGAAGTCATTTGTTGTATAAGGGCATTTTATGCTTTGTTCTTCTGAACTATAGAGTAGTAGGATAAACTGCACTCCGTCCTCATGATAGACAGAATAGGGATGAACCTAAGCTGTTTAAATAGACAGAATAGTGACGAGTGTGTGCATAATGATCAGATTTGGATGTTTTAACTAATTTTTGGATCTTTATACATGGGGCCTCTCTCCAAAGAAGGAACCGTAGATGATTTTAAATTGCTTTCTTTGTCTTATGGTGGGATAGAATTGTTGTCCGATTGAAATTGCAGAATGTAAATATAAATTGTAACGATCAAATTTTGAGAAATTAGTAGTGATATTATCGTCTCTGGTAGAGCAAAAAATTTTCTTTTGATTAAAGTGAAACAATAAGACTCCTCAAGTTTGGTACTTCAGATTGTAGTTATATTCTGTATTTCAAGTGGTAACTTACTGAAGTCACGGAAACCTCATTCTGAGGACATTTGGCTTTTGGACACCCAATAATGATCCAAACTAGATAATCTAAGGTTGAGGCACAAGTATACCTTTATTGGGTTTAGTTCTCATGCATGCATATTGGGTTCTTGGTGGATTTTTTGTTAAAAAAAAGCAGTATTTTTCCATTCCAAAGAGAAAAATAATCCAAAAAAGGGAAATGGATATTTGTGGTAAAATGCTACTTTCTTGGAATGGTTTTCCTTACTTCTATCTTTTCAGCTTAAATTATTAGGCTTCTCATATGATTGGGATCGGGAAATTTCTACAACAGAACCTGAATATTATAAATGGACACAATGGATATTTTTGCAGCTTTTGAAGCAGGGATTGGCGTATCAGGTAAGAATTTCATCACATCCACGAATTTTTACACATGCATCAAAACGAGATTTAATGATCTGTTAATCCTATATCAAGGCTGAAGTTCCAGTCAACTGGTGCCCTGCACTTGGTACTGTCTTGGCAAATGAAGAAGTGATAGATGGTGTGAGCGAGCGTGGGGGACATCCTGTGATAAGAAAAGTATGTTTTTTCTATGTTCTGTCATATTGCACTGATTTCAATTAACTTTTTATTATTCCTTATTTCTACTCCTTAGATGGTTTTATGATTTTACAGTTCATTGTTTATTACCGAGCAGCCTATGCGGCAATGGATGCTGAAGATTACTGCATATGCTGACCGTCTTCTTGAAGATTTGGATGATCTTGACTGGCCCGAAAGTG